CGTAAAAGTCACACTAGTAAAAGTCACACTAACTGAATAACCAGTCGGCTGGTTTTGAAAACCAGCCGACTACCAGCAGACAATTCTAAAATTGTGTACTGTGAACTGGGCTTTACTTAAAACTTTACTCCAATTACTATGATGTCTGGTGTAAACTATTTTAAACAATGCTCCTTACTCTGCCAAACAAATCAATAATATCTGGATAATCAAATGACATCACTTACATCTCTGACTTGTGGGCTGAACTCCTCTTCATTAAGCGACTTGGTGGCATCTGAGAGCAGCTGGAATAACACACTGATCATCAATAAATGACTTTCTAGAAATCCAACCCTATCAGTCCCAAGGTTACCAAGGCAACGTGCTGCAGCGCTCTCACAGAGGCCTCCAGAAGGAAAACACACAGCTTACCATCTCCCAGATGTAGGGGAAGAGTCGATCTCCAAAGTACTCAGTGGCTTCAATCGGGAGCTGGGCAGGAAGGTTGTCGATTGAGCACATGAGGATCCCATTTCCCTCCACGCTGCACAGACACACATGCACGTACACACACACAAAACATGGTCTAATATTAGTCTCAGTTCAGACTACACCTATGTTCCTTAGAAATTAGAAAAGTGGTGATGCTAATAAAAGTGTAAAAAAGACAGTGATGTTCATGATAAAGGCTCTAAAGTGAGCTGTCTGCAGTGTACCTGTCATGGTCTATGTGCTGGTCTGCATCATATATGCAGAAAGGCTTATCAATGGTGGTGCACTCAGTCATGAACTCTATGGAGCCTCCAGTATCTGCAGATATGTCACAGATGGCCAGCAGTCTGGGCAGAGAGCAGACAGTCAACACTCAGAGCATCAGCTTTATTCATTATATCAACGGTAAAAGTTACAGTGACGGCCTAAAAATATCACGTGTTACCACAATGGCTGCGTTTTGGAGGTTTCTTACTTGTGAGGCAGCGCTGGTGACCCCTCGTTGAGAGCACTCAAGGATTTAAGGGGTCTGATGAGCCTCTGGGCATCAAGGCGTCTGAGGAGTCTTGGGGTGTGGGGGTCCCAGTAGATGCCATTAATCAGACATGTTGTGTAGGGAGCAACCTGGTAAAAAGAGCCACGACTGATGAGAGACACTGCTGACCTTAAACCTGCTTCACACAGCACCACGTAATGCTGCCACCATCCACACAGCAAGCTCCTTCTCCACTAGTAGGTCCCAAACATAACGACAACAATTCAGATCAGCGCTGATTACTTGACTATGCATATATATTAATAATAAAATCATTTATAAAGATATTTTCACCCTGTGGTTTGTACTATAAAGTACGTATATTTCATTTAATTTAACCAAATATTATGTTTTTTTTCTTCAAAGTCGCTGAATTTTCGCATTTTAATTTCACATTCAAATGCTTGGAAGCGAAGCCGGTGAGGCAGCAGTGAGCTGAGCCTCACCTGGGATTGCGCAACCTCTCGCTAACTGCACTGGCTGCCGTTCTATGGGAGCATGTTCGTCCTGTCTGTACGCCGGCAATAAAATGGCTAAAAACATTTAATTTTCCATAATTTAGCTTATGTATTTAATGTACTGTGTTTTTATTGTCACCAACTGTGTGTGTAACGTGTTTCGTGTGCTGAGGAGCGATCATAGACGGCAGAGAACAGATTCAAGGTGAGGCAGGCAGTTCTCGTGCCTCATCGCTGGGGGCGCTCATGATCCCAGACATCGTCACTCCACAACTGCAGAGTAAGAGACAGTAACAGCGAGCTAGCCATACAGTAGCTACGCTGGTACAGAGAGCGAGAAAGACATGGTTTTGAGTTGTACTTTAACGGTTTCTCCCTTTGCTGTTAAGCACAGCACGAAATTAATAATATCTACATGTTTGAGATAACGGAATTATTCTGCGGCGGCGGCGTGGCTAAACATCACATGTCATCAATAGTCTTTTTGCCCTCCAGCGTTGTACCCATNGCCAATAAAATGGTTAAACACATTTAATGTATGAACAGATTTTCAATAATTTAGCTTATGTATTTAATGTACAGTTGTGACTGTATTGTCACCAACTGTGTGTAACGTGTTTCGTGTGCTGAAGAGCGATAATAAACGGAGGAAAACAGATTCGAGGTGAGGCAGGCAGTTCTCGTGCCTCATCGCTGGGGGCGCTCATGATCCCAGACATTGTGACTCCACAACTGCAGAGTAAGACACAGTGAAGCAAGCTGGCCATACAGTAGCTGCGCTGATTGATTGAGATAACGAAAATATTCTGCGGCGGCGGTGGCGCAGCTATGGATGGCATGTAAAGACTTTTTCCCCTCCAGCATTGTACGCATGCGCGAAATTTCCTTATGCAAACAATAACATGCAGGGGGTCTAGATTTGTAAATCCGATTATAATTAAGTCGGTGCCTCACCAGCTATGAACGTCACCGCACGTCATAGAAAAGGTACGTACAAAAGTCCCACCCCTTCACATGTGGTATCATTGAAAAGCCCTAAATGTCCTCTCCAGATACCAAAAGGAATTAATTCAGTAGAATGCAGGGGGGTGGGAGATATTCAAGTTTAGAAATGTCCTCTACAGAGGTCAAAAATGAACTACTGGTAGTCAGGAGGATATATATATATATATATATATATATATATATATATATATATATATATAT